GTAAATATATAGATAAGGATATCTACTCTAATATCTGTACTCTACTATAACTACTGTATCTATATTAACTATAGATCTATTAGCTCTATCTATATCTACTTAATAGATAAGGCAAGAAATAGAGATAGTATAAAAGAAGAATATAAAGGTATTATTTAATACTAGTAGGTTATAAAAGAAAGTATAGTAGGACTAGCTAGTAGAGAAAAGGTTTTATAAAATATAAGGATATACTTAACAGTAAAGAATAATAGAGTAATTAGATAGTGATATAACTAAGGTATTATAAAAAGGATATAATAGCTACTAGTATAGAATAGTCTAAAGTTATAGAAAGGACTAAAGTAATAGAATAAATAAAAGGTATAGAACGCGCTAAAGTTATAGAATACTAACCCTAAAAAATAAAAAGTTATAGAACGCCCTAAAGTTATAGAACACCCTAAAGTTATAGAACGCCCTAAGCTTATAGAAGGCCCTAAAGTTATAGAACGCCCTAAAGTTATAGAACGCTACCCCTAAAAATAAAAAGTTGTAGAACGCCCTAAAGTTATAGAACACTACCTCTAAAAAAGAAAAAGTTATAGAACGCTCTAAAGTTATAGAACACTACCCCTAAAAAATAAAAAGTTGTAGAACGCCCTAAAGTTATAGAACGCCCTAAAGTTATAGAACACTATACCTAAAAAATAAAAAGTTGTAGAACGCCCTAAAGTTATAGAACGCCCTAAAGTTATAGAATGCCCTAAAGTTATAGAACACTACCTCTAAAAAAGAAAAAGTTATAGAACACTCTAATATTATAGAACACTACCTCTAAAAAAGAAAAAGTTATAGAACACTCTAATATTATAGAACACTACCTCTAAAAAAGAAAAAGTTATAGAACACTCTAATATTATAGAATACTAACCCTAAAAAATAAAAAGTTATAGAACACTCTAATATTATAGAACACTACCTCTAAAAAAGAAAAAGTTATAGAACGCCCTAAAGTTATAGAACACTACCCCTAAAAAATAAAAAGTTGTAGAACGCCCTAAAGTTATAGAACGCCCTAAAGTTGTAGAACGCCCTAAAGTTATAGAACGCCCTAAAGTTATAGAACGCCCTAAAGTTATAGAACACTACCCCTAAAAAATAAAAAGTTGTAGAACGCCCTAAAGTTATAGAACGCCCTAAAGTTATAGAACGCCCTAAAGTTATAGAACACTACCCCTAAAAAATAAAAAGTTATAGAACGCCCAAAAGTTATAGAACACTACCTCTAAAAAAGAAAAAGTTATAGAACGCCCTAAAGTTATAGAACGCCCTAAAGTTATAGAACGCCCTAGAGTTATAGAACACTACCCCTAAAAAATAAAAAGTTATAGAACGCTCTTAAGTTATAGATCACCGCCTAAAAATCTGTATAGATTATCTTAAATCCTTTCTTAATCTTCCTATGCTATATATTAACTGCCTAAGGTACGTACACACACAACCTGTTCTTTTGTATATTTTGCGAGGATTGCTCCTAGCTCTAGCCCTCTCTATCTTGCAATTACTATATAACTTGTTCGCTATGGCCCTCTTCCTTCTGTTAACAGCAGCCGTTTAGGCAGCAGTTTTGCAAATGAGGAGGGCATAATATCCCAATTTCAACCAAGCTAGCAACGGGCTTACGCTCAGTAGCTCGTAACAACAAGGCTACTCGACTACTTACACGACCCGGCCAGACAACTAAGTCGTCTGCAAAGGATTCAATCCTGCGCACTGTACAATTGCAATACACCGGCTAACAACCCCAACTTCAATGGGGCTGCCAACGCCGATCTGGTAAGGTTCTGGGCCAAAGGCCTATTCGTATCCGACTGGTGCAGGCGGAAATCACCCCGTTCTAGCATGGATTCTGACTTAGAGGCGTTCAGCCATAATCCAGCAGAAGGTAGCTTCATCTAAACTCATGGTCCTGAGATAATGACCCAGAT